CTGGCTGAGGAGCGGGAGAGGCGGAGCCGGAGACGTTGATAGCCAATTTCTGGCCCAATGTACAATGGCTTGGAAATGTACAAAGATAGTAATGTGATCCAGCAGAACTCAATGTAATATTTGTTGGGCCATTTGTTGAAATTGAAATTGGGCTTGAAGTATTGCATGAATCAAAAGCCCCTTTTGATACTTCAGCCACACTGTGTGATCCACTTCTAAAGTTAAATACTACATTAAAAAAAAATTGTTACATTAAAAAACCGCAAAAATTATTGATTTTGATTTTTAAATATATATATTTATTCTAAATTTACCGACTCTAGATCGCAAATTTGGCATGATTGTTAGGTGGTATGGACTAGTATTATTTAACTATATACATAAAAGTTGAATGGAATGTAGTGTGTCTAAAAAATATATATAGCTGTCATAACTTTGTAAATATTTGGCACTACATATAATATAACATAATATATGCTACTATTAATTGAATAAAAACAATACAAGTGGGAAGGAATCTAGGTGATAATAAAAAAAGAAAAAGGTGTTATCACCCATTACCATTAACACTTTATTAGAGTAAACTAAACATAATTAACAAAAAGTAATACAAAGTGGAAATTTAGTTTAGTTTAAAATTTAAAAGTGATGGCAAAAGTATCTACACAATCAGATCATTTATTAGGTCTTTTTATAAGATGTATATAAAATTTCTTGAACATGAATTAGGGTAAAAATGACCTAATAATAAGATAATAATTTTTTCATTGATGAGGTATATAAGTTAAATTCGTAATAGATTCAAGTAAGTATGGTAACTTAAATAACATCTCGTGAATCTAGTAACTAACATGATATCACAAATTAAAATTCACTACTTAGTACGCTTTGATCTCAATTTATAATTCACTTGTTTTTTAGTTTCTTCAAGAAAGAACGATGCATTTTTTTATTTACCAACAATTTAACTTTAAAATGTCTATTTTAGCTACAAAAATATTTGCAAATTATTTTAGACAAGTTCCAAACTTTTTTTTTCCTTTTCTTAAAACTCTTTAACAAATCAAATTACAACAGATTAAATCGAGATAGAATAAGTAATATATAAAATCACTATACTGTCGATGTATATATATACTAACCAAGAATATCACCAACTACAAAGGATTTCCCGATGGCCCATGTGGGAATAGAAGTGCTTTTATTTCTTAAATTCAGTGTCAAGTCAAACTACAGATAAATTGAGAGGAACAGAGTAGAATACGAACCTAGAATGTCACCAACGACAAAGGATTTCCCGGCGGCCCATGTGGAATAAGAGGCGGCGCCACCATTAGGAACGGTCCAACCCAAAGTATCACCAACAACATGAGTTTGTTGTGCCATAGCAACATGTTGTAATAAAGCAAATAAAATTGAGCCAAAAACAACTAAAGAACTCAACTTTCTAGCCATTTTGCACTATATGTTCTTCAAGATCAAGGTCACCCCTATATTTTTTTGTGTGTTTTTCTCTCTTTGATAGAGTAGAAAAAGAGTTGATGTATTGTGTTGGCAATGAAGTTTCTATTTATAGAGAAACAATAAAGAGTTTTATTTTTCTTTTTCTTTTTCCTTTTTTTGATGGGGGTAAGGGTGACTTGTTCAAACTTAGGATTAAATTGATTAAATGACGAGGATAATAATATACTATATAGTAAACCGAGTTATACTAAGTTGAATTTTGAAATTTGTTGGGATTAGAATTTAGTTTTTTTAATTTTATTTTACTTTAAGAAAAGCAAATATGTTTTTTAAAAGCCATGAGCATACACATGTTTGAAACTTTAATTCAAGTATCACCTATTTCCGATTTACCTGTAATATATAAAAAATTATGATCAAACACTAACTATAAGCATGTTTGATTCAGTTCAATTAATTTTTTTTAAAAAAAATCTATTTCCGTCCAAATTAGTTGTCATATTAAATTAGATCAACTCAATATATTACATTAAAAATTTGAATATTAAAAAAAACTATTCAATAAGTAGCACAAGTTTAAAAAAAAAAATCATGTCAACAACATAACATACTCGGGAAAATCTCACAAAGTACCGTCTGAAGAGGATACTGAAGTGTACATAGATGTCAATTTGATAGTAAATTATATTTTAAAATTACAAAAAAATTGACTGTCGCAAAGCAAAAACCTGACAAAAAACAATCGAGTATTTGAATTACGAAAGAATTATTGGTGTGATTTGTTAAAACACTAGATTACAATTTCAATTTCTTGCAAATCACAGTATTAATATGTGACTTTGACTAACTATTAACCAATTAGAGTATAACAAATATGAAACATATAGGTGAATAATTTAAATTATTTTTGGTCATGAAGTTGACCTATTAGATGTGAAATGGGCGTGTGTTCTAGAAAATTAAATGAACCATTAGCCTTTTTTGGGCTGCCGCGTTACGCCCTACAACTTCACCCACCCCCTTTGGACTTTTTTTGCACCAATTATTGACTATACTCATTATTTTTTTTAAAAAAAAAATTTGGATTTTTCCTATTGTTTTATATTTTTTGAGGGTAGTGTCAATTAAACGTATCGAATAATCTATAAATAAGAAGAGGTTATTCAAGTGGTAAACAATTTTATTTTTCATTCTAATTAAGTTTGTGAAATTTTACATCTGAGAGCGAGAAGAGTAAAAACATCGGATATACATGTTTTTTGGAGTTTGGAGTGTAAAGTGTATAAAATATTAACAAAAATTTTAGAATGGTATATAAAATTGTATATTAACCAAAACTATAATATCGCTGAAACAACAGCGATTTCCTCCGTTGGAAAAAGCAAAATCGCTGCAAAATGTGATTTTTTTTAGAAAAAAATTAAAATCGCTGTCTAGTCAACGATTTTCATTTTTTTTAATTATTTTAAAAAAAATTAAATCGCTGCCTAGGCAATGTTTTTTTTTTTAAAAGAAAAGTTTCACATTTTGTAAAATCGCTGCAGTAGCAGCAGGGATTTTGCTTTTCCCGGCAGAGGAAATCGCCGTTGTTTCAGTGATTTTGCCGTTTTGATTAATATAAAATTTATACACCATTTTAAAATTTTTGTTAATATTTTATACCCTTTAAACTTCGAACTCTGTTTTTTTGGCCTATGAACAAATGGAGAGAGAGATAAAACAAAGACCTGCATCGCAATCGACATCAAGTGTATTATTTAATGGTAAATAAAATAAGTTAAAAATCATGAAATTTCTAAAAACTAAATTCCAATTAAAATAAAATTATTAAATATTTTTTTATTTATCTAAAATTTTAATAATTTAATTGATTACTTATACTGATGAGAAATAACAGATACGCGCACACTTCCAAATTCTAATAATGCTTGTTAAACTTGCATGTTCAGATATACCAAATACACAAACAACATCACATATGTCATGCCTTCAAAAGGTATGGCCGGTGGGCTAATTAGGTATCTCCCACCTTCGATTAAAGTGTTTTATTTCGTATTTTGAGAATTACGATAGATAATTTAAAAGATAAGAAGTTTGAAAATAACATATGCAATTAACGTTTTCATGTTTGTTGAGTTCAAAGATTGCACCATACTTGGGGAAGTTGGAGTAGTTGTATCTTTATAGGGTGTGTTTGGTACGAAGGAAAGTATTTATTTTTTTGAGATTTTTTTTTAAATTTTCGTTTATTTGTTTAATCGAAATATTTGAAAAATATTTCTTTAGTAGAACAAGCTACTTAAAAATGAGGAAAATAACTTTCTTAACAGTAATAGGGAAAACGAAAACGAATGGTCTCCTCTTCACTCACCCAACCCTCATCCCTTAACCATCTCATCCCCAACCACTCCCGAACCTCCACTCCTCATTTCTATTTGTCTGCATAGTGTTTTACTAGATAACATATAAATTTCGGGAAAACATATTTTTTTAAAAGAAGTAATTTTTAAATTTGTGTAATAACAAGTGTGAGAGAATGGGTGGCTCCAAATTAATTAAATGTCACTTGAGATAATGTTTTAGTTATAGAAGTTTACTTGCATATAGTGCTAATGAAGTTGCTCTATTATATGTCAGCAACTTCACTAGCTAACAACCATTCTCTTGCACCTAGCACATATGAGTTTTAACCAATGTTTTAAAAAGGGTGTGCGTGAGGTGAGACGTTTTCTGCAGTATGAATAAGACGTAAATTCTGAGACACAAAGCGTAAATTTTAGTCTTATATATGGATCTACAGCCGTAGGCTTATATAATTCAATTTTATAATTTTTTTACTAAAAATTAATTTAAAGTAAAACTTTCAATTATTTTACCAGATAAACTTTAGTAAATAACTTGTAATATATAGAAAAATATATTATAATTTTAATATGAGAAAGGTATTAATAACCAATAATAAAAATTATGATTTAAAGCAAATAAGGTTCAAAAACAAAAATAAAATAAAATATGAAGAAGTATGTTTTTATGCTTGGAGCTTATGCCCCAAATTCTAGGACTTATACCCTATGATCTACATCTTCAATTTGTGCCTTCAAACGTTTTTGATATACTCCATTCCAAAACTCGCCCTACAAAACGTTTTTAAAATTACTGATCAAACTTAAACATTTTTCAGCAGCAACATTAATTGATTTACTATAATATATTATTGTTCTCCTCATTTAATCAATTTTATCCTAAGTTTGAACAAGTCACCCCCTTACCAAATCCCAAAAAAAAAAGGAAAAGGGAAAAGAAAAATGGAACTCTTTATTGTGCCTCTATAAAATAGAAACTTCATTGCCACCACAATACATCAACACAACTCAACTCAACTCTTTTTCTACTCTATCAAAGGGAGAAACACAAACAAAAAATAAAAGATAGGGGTGACTTGATCTTAGAGAACATATATAGTGCAAAATGGCAAGAAAATTGAGTACTTTAGTTGTTGTTGGTGCAATTTTATTTGCTTTAATACAACATGTTTCAATGGCACAACAAACTCATGTTGTTGGTGATACTTTGGGTTGGACCGTTCCTAATGGTGGCGCCGCCTCTTACTCCACATGGGCCGCCAGGAAAACCTTTGTCGTTGATGACATTCTAGGTTCGTATTCTACTCTGTTTCTCTCAATTTATCTGATGTAGTTTGACTTGACACTGAATTTAAAAAATTAAAGCACTTCTAAATTGTATAACTATAAATTATTTTATACTAAATATTAAAAGATGTTATTCTTTTTAAAACGGACAAAAAAAAATGAGTCATATAAATTAAGACGAAGAAAATACTATTTTATGAATTTTAATATATGATATCACGTTAGGTACTATATTTTAATTGGTCATCTTAACCTGATTTATATTCAACATTACAAATTCTCCCATCTTAAAAAGTTATAACACCTTTTGCTTTTTTATTATCACCTAGATTCCTTCCCACTTGTATTGTTTTTATTTAATTAATAGTAGCATTTATTATTTTATATGTAATTTATGACATATATATATATATATATATATATATATATATATATATATATATATTTTTAAACACACTACATTCCATTCAACTTTTATGTATATAGTTAAATAATACTAGTCCATACCACCTAACAGTTATGCCAAATTTGCGATCTAGAGTCGGTAAATTTAGAATAAATATATATATATTAAAAAATAAAAATCAATAATTTTTGCGGTTTCTTTAATGTAACAATTTTTTTTTAATGTAGTCTTTAACTTTAGAAGTGGATCACACAGTGTGGCTGAAGTATCAAAAGGGGCTTTTGATTCATGCAATACTTCAAGCCCAATTTCAATTTCAACAAATGGCCCAACAAATATTACATTGAGTTCTGCTGGATCACATTACTATCTTTGTACTTTTCCAAGCCATTGTACATTGGGCCAGAAATTGGCTATCAACGTCTCCGGCTCCGCCTCTCCCGCTCCTCAGCCAT